AAAAAAAAAAAAAAAAAAAAAATTGCGTCAATCAAAAAACTGCACGTGTACAAATTATACATTATACGTGCGTTCTCAGAGTACTTCTAAATATTTGCAAACTTGTATGAAAAAATTCTGATGGTTTTTTTCATTGTGATTTTATCGTCATGTTATAATCTTACATTACATTTCTTGTACACTTGTCGAATATGATTTCAATTCAAATTTGGCAGAAACGACATTTCACACGCGTTGATCTAACACAAAGATATACAGTGTTCTGGTAAAGAAAATCAACGATTTAGATATGACGAACGAAGTACATATTTCGTTTGTTCCTTTTTTTTATTTCTTCTTCTTTCTTTGTCCTCCGTTATCTATTTTTCACTTTCCTTTTTGAACACAGCACACGCTACGCATACTAACAATTAGAATAATCGATGCACGCAGAGTGGGACTCGGACACGCGCACAATGAATCCTTTCTGTTAGTTTCTTAACAACGATCCAAGCAACAGTTTCGTTAACGGTGGAAATGTTGTAAATAAGCGAGAGACACGTATACAGTGTAACCAACAGATATTCTAGCATATGCGATTTTTCAATGTCCTTTAAATATAAGCATACCTAAACTTAGTGGGATATTAGGTATTGATTTGTGTGCTTATGTTTGGCCAGAGTTTTGAATAATCGGGATCGAAGAGACGGGGATAACTGACAGTGTCTTGCGTTTGAAATTTGAGAGACGCCAGGGGCCTGGATAAATAATTCAGCACATAGAATTTTGATGGACACATGGACACTTCGAATGTGTTTCTTTTCCCTTCAGATAATTTGACAATCCCACGCCGATCCTATGGAATTAATCACAGGATCTGTATTTACGACTCCAATGGCTAATTTCTGAGATCATTGCAGAGCCAAGTGAAAATCAAAATATCAAAATAAATATTTGCTTTCAGGTTTTAATTACCTTAATGCACCAAAATGAAGTGCCACTTCATTCACGAGAAAATACAATTACGTGGTGTACTAAATTACGAACAAATTCATTTATTCATATTTGTATATATATATAACTTTCTAGCTTTTTTTTTTATTTAATATTTTCTTAATTCAAAAAAAATGATTCAATGACAATTAGTGCAAAATATAATATGATTACAATTCATTCAATTAATTACATCGTATAATAAAATATTAATTTGTAAATGAGAATAACTAAATGAACGTTGCATTAATTTTACTTTCAATTTGAAAATCTTGTTTCAAAACGAGATCTTTCTCTCTGTTTGATCGTTGTCAAATAATTGTTATCTTCCCTGGCGTCTTTCAGTGGTGATATTTGGATCTGTCCAATCAACAATCGTCTATATTGGTGTCATTTTTCGATAATTGTCTAATTAATATATTGATCGAGGATGAAGCTGCAGACGACTGCATTGTTTTCGTGTAGTTTTGCTGCAACCTTATTACTAAATATCGCTCGCGGTGTTCCACGCGAAATGTTCCTAAAAATTTGTAACATATCACACGAATATACGAAACACGTTTGCACTTGCATACATACAAGGAAAAAAAAAAGAGAGAGAGAGAGAGAAAAAAAAGGGAAAGAAAACATAAAACACATAATATGTCTCTATTGCGACGACGCATGCATGAGAAAACACACGTTCACCA